AGGTTCACATCAAACTCCTCGTCCAATCAGGAACCACGACAGGTTCAAATTGAACATCTTCCATCCATAATCTTCTGCTTGTTCCAGACTCAGGTCTGGGGGCAGCATCTTGATCAGGGAGGTCCTGACCTCTCTCTCCACAGCCTCTTCCACATCTTCTGGGAGGACTCCAAGGTGTTCCCAGGCCAACAGAGAGATGTAGTATCTCCATCGTGTTCTGGGTCTTCCTTGAGATCTCCTCTCAGTCGGACATACCCGAACCACCTCAACTGTCTCCTCTGGATGTGGAGGAGCAGTGGTTCTCCTCTGAGTCTCTCCTGATGACTGAACTTCTCCCCCTGTCTCTGAGGGAAAGTCCAGCTACCCTGCAGAGGAAACTCATTTCAACCTCCTGGATCCACGATCTCATTCTTTCAGTCTCTACCAGAGTTCATGACCAGAGGTGAGGGGAGGAACGTAGACCGACGTAGACCGTCTTTGGATCAATGAGACCAGAACCAAACGAGTCCAGTTGAACTAAACTATAGAAAGTAAAACCAGAGGTTCTTTGATTCTCCCTCTCGTTAAATTGTTAGAGCTTAATAAAAAAGTTTTAAATTGTTTTCAGGGTTCTCCTTTGGTCTGAACTTGAATCAAACAGAACCTTCACTGTGGTTAAACCGTACCAGAACGTTGTTGTTGTTGTGGTTTTTGTCGTTGTGGTTGTCACACACATTTTGTCTGTGGCTCATTGGATCGTCTAGACTCGGAACCGGATTTCCTGTTCATCCAGTTCTGTTGAGTTTTCAGGATGACAAAGGAGGAAGTGTTTGAGTCCCGTTTGATTGAAACAGTGGATGAACTCAGGGTTTGTTGCAGTCGGCACCGTCTGGGCGGCTGTGGCTGAGTGGTTAGAGCAGTCGTCCTCCAATGGGAGAGCTGTGGGTTTGATTCCAGCAGTCACATGTTGAAGTGTCCCTGGGCAAGACACTGAACCCTTATTGTCTCTGATGTGTGTCCCATCAGTGAATGAATGTGATAAAGTTCTGATTAGTCTTTGTATAGATCTAGTAGAGTTCTGTATGAATGGGTAAATGAGGAACAGAGTGTTGTGAAGAGCGTTGAGTGTTGATCACATAGAAAAGTTCTATTTAAGTACAGTCTGTTTACCGTCAGAACCCAAAGGATCAAATGGTGATGTCCACAATGACACTGGGTCTGCTCAGTTTCTCTTAGAACATCCAACACATTTTGAAATTAATCTGTGAAGCTGGACATGTTAAAGTGATGAACTTTGCTGTTATCATAAGGCTTTTCCTTTTAGCTCCGCCCACTTACACCAGCAGCTGATGTCATCCTCTGACGAGCTGGAAAACAGGAAGCAGCTGCACCAACATCCTGCCTGGCATGGAGGCGGAGTCACACCTCGACACAAGCCCCATTCTGTACGACCCGACAATGTCCACCTCTGTGAGGCCCGTCGGCCAATCAGGACGCTTCGTTTGGATCGGTTCCAGGTGGTCTGAAGCTGCAGTTTGGACTCATTCATCACGGAGACAAAACAAACCATAAAACCTCTGAGGATGACTTATTGTGCTGCACAGAGTCACACCTGAGGATGACTTGTTGTGCTTGTTGCTATGCAACGGTCTGCTCATTGTGATGGTGTTGTTGCTATGTGACCGTCAGCTGATGTTGCTGATTGTGAAGATTGACATCTGAAGGGTCTCAGTTTTTGACCGGACCTGAAAGCATCACATCGTCTCTCAGCTGAGTAACGGTTCTGGTTCTGTCTGTTTCAGATGCCTTTGTGAACAGTCAGGAGTGGACCCTGAGTCGGACGGTACCAGAGCTCAAAGTGGTGAGTCACATTCAGAACCAGGTGATGATTGGCTTGAAATCAGTTCATCCCGGTAAACGTCTGTTCTGCTCCCCATCCCCTCCCCGCCCAGGGCATTGTGGGTAATCTGGCCAGCGGGAAGTCGGCGCTGGTCCACAGGTACCTGACAGGAACCTACGTCCAGGAAGAGTCTCCTGAAGGTGAGAACATCCCTGAATCTTTGTCACATCCTGCTGAGGGTCTTCAGACTGAACCAGAACCTCTGATCCAGGTTGACCTCACAGCTCTTCTCTCCTGTTTGCACTCGTTAAACCAGTTTCACAACAGATGTAGGAAACCAAATGTCTGTCTGATCTCCTGGACATCCAGTCCTCACTTATCCTGACCGGAACAACAACAGAACGCTTTCTTCAGTTTCCTGTTAGTTAAAAAAAGTTTAAAATAATTATAAAGATTGTTTCTTAGTTTACCAACAACCAGCAGTTTAACACCTGACCCCAATCTGACCACCCAGAACCATCCTGTTGCAGAATGTTTAAATATTCCAGTTATTTGAAAGAACCAGGAGCCGAGATGTCGGCTTCATCACTGAACAGAACCAGAACAGAACCACAGAGACCCACCATGCTGAGGGTTCAGGTTCTGTGTCCTCTTCTGGTTCCTGGTTCAGTTTTTCAACACAGAAGGATTTAATCAAATCCTGCATTTAGAAAAAAATGCACAAAATACAAAAATATCTCACTGATGAGGTTTCAAGAAACCAGGTCAGGGACTGGACCACATGATCACATCACCCCAGTCCTTAAATCCCTCCACTGGCTTCTCATTTCACTCCACACCGAAGACAAGGTTTCCTTACCCACCATTCCATGCACGGCAATGCTCCATACCATCTTAAAGAACTGCTCAGACATCCACACAATCCATCCTCCACAACCCATTTGACCTGAAGGACCATTTGACCCATAGAGCCATGGTTCTGTTCGTTCCTTCATTGAGTTTTCAAGTCTTTTTTTTGGTTTTCTCACTTCGGACAAAACTGTGTACCACGGGCGACACCATTTGGAGGTGATACCATGGATGACACCATGGGGGGGGTTGATACCATGTATGAAACCATGGGGGACACCATGGGTGAACTGTGCACCTTTGGTTGCACCACAGGTGACACCACAGGTGACAGGTCCTTCTGCTCTGCTGCTCCTCGTCTGTGGAACACCCTCACGACCATCGAAGGATACCCCAGACTACAGAAAGTTTTAAGAAAGGACTGAAGAACTTTTATTTTAAAGATTTCAGTGTTAAAAATTATTTTTAATCCTGTTTTTAGTTTTTTAGTTTGTAAAATTTTTAGTCCTTGTTTTATTCTCTCTAGATGTTTTATATTGTAGCACTTTGAGACTGTAACTTGTAAAGTTCAGTACAGATTCAATAACTCATTATTATTATTATTATTATCATTATTATTATTATCATTATTATTATTATTATTATAGGTTTGGTGATGAAAGATGAGAGTCCGGTCCTGTATTGGACCGGTCCTGAGGAGCTTGGACTCCTCTGGTTCTAGTCTGAGTTTAGAGTCTGCAGGGTCTCCTGGTTCAGTCCTGGTAAAGTCTCCTGAGGACCCCACAGATCTGCTTCAGGTACTGAGCCCTCCCTTGGACCTGGCGGTTTGGTTCTGTATCCCGTTCAGGAAGAAGGACTTTGTTAAACAGAAAACTGAATTTCTGACTCCCGTTGGATAAAACCGGAGCGGGGGAGCAGCACATTCCTCATGACTAAAAATATGGCGCCGCCTGGGTTCCCAGGGCCGCTGATTGGAGCTGGTGGCCCACGAGCGGTACCACCAAACCACAAGCCTGAACTATTCTGGGCCTGCAGGACTTAATGAGCAGAAAGAGCTGCCGACCCATTCAGAACTGGAACCAGACCTGCAGCCTTTTGTTTACTAGGTGTTTTCAGTTCTCTGTGCTGAGTTCAGGGACCATCGGACACATCAGTACCAACTATACATGTGAGAACAAATAAAAACAAAATACAGATGGGATCCATTAGGAGACAGAGGGGTTCTGTTTGGGTTCAGTCTTCATTCAGTGGTTCTGTTGGTGAAAACGAGACGACTCCTGAAACGTCTGAACGTCTGTTCAGTTTCAAACATTTTGCTCCTTTCTGTAAAAACAACCGTTGGTTTTAGGAGTCTGTCATTTTGTTTTGATCGTTTTCACTTCCTGGGTCAGAAAGCTGTGAGGCTCATGAACACACCGTCAAGTGTTCCTGAACGCAGCCCAGACCATGATTCTTCCACTGCTGTGTCCCGTTTCATGTTGTCTCTGAGGGGACAACTCAAACTCTGAGGGGACGACTCAAACTCTGAGGGGACGACTCAAACTCTGAGAGGACGACTCAAACTCCGAGGGGACGATTCAAACTCTGAGGGGATGACTCAAACTCTGAAGGGACAACCCAAACTGAGGGGACGATTCAAACGCCAAGGGGACGATTCAAACGCAGAGGGGACGACTCAAACTCTGAAGGGACGACTCAAACTCTGAGTATATGACTCAAACTCTGAGGGGACGACTCAAACGCCGAGGGGACGACTCAAACTCTGAGAGGACGATTCAAACGCCGAGGGGATGACTCAAACTCTGAAGGGACGACTCAAACTCTGAGGGGACGATTCAAACTCTGAGGGGACGACTCAAACTCTGAGGGGA